GTGGCTAACCATGTAACCTTTTTCGTCGACAGCCTGCAAGGACTCTACTCCAAGTAGGTACCATTTAACCTTTCCACAATGGGATCACTAACCTAAGTTGTTTCTTGAACCTTTTTGCTATGTTTTTATTAGACTGTACATAGTGTTACCTGTTTTGCTTTTGTCTTGCCTTGTACATTGTCAGTGTAAACAATGCCGTGCTAAAATACGATAGAAAGGAGACTAACAGTGTGCTGTGATCTCCAGGTCTGTGAAACTCAACGGAGAGGTGTTGAAGATGGTGGATGACAGAACTCTTCCATCGCTCCAGGGAACCCCTCTTGCTGCAGGAGAACATCTCAGACTCCCTGGTTATTCCTTTGCCTTCTATGTCCTCAGCAAGGCCCAGGCACTGGGCTGCCGATGACCCCAACTGGGAGGAGGACTTGAGAAGATGGAGGTAAACTCACTGTCTAGACTAAGAGAAGGAAACACTTGACTATTACTCAAAAACACTGCTGGATGTTTTGCCAAAGAATGTAACCAGGTGAATGTGGGTGAAAGGATTCAATCATTTTAAAAATAATTTTGTTTTCATCTACATATATTACATTTTGTATATTTTTTAACATGTATAGTCTTAATACCTTTGAGTAGTGTTTAAATGTTCAAGGAATCCAAAGGTTTCATTCCATGTCTTGGTAGAAAATGTTGTTTAGGCAATACTTAAATGTACTTAAATGTACTAAAACCTGAGCCTAAACACAACTGTTACATTCTGTTTACACTTAATAGTTGAATTGTGCAATTTTTGATTTTATGAACTTTCTGTTGTGATATCTTTACCAAATTATTTTTGATGAGGAAAAAATGCAGTAATGAATTCAAAGCATGTCATGCTATAAAGTTGATATTCTTTATTTTATATTCTCTTAATACCAGTATTAACATTTGAATCAGCTAGGGTCATTAATGCAAACTTTATTCACATTTTATACACAGAAACAGGCAGTAGTACCATCAGCCCCTGTCTGATGTTGACAACACTATCATGGACGTTGATATGACGTCGACAGATCCTTTACTCCTCCTGTTCCTCCTTGTGTGTGATGATGTAACAGAGGTATTTATATTCCACGTTTCCTGCTGGGTCGGTGGTAGATGACTGGAACATCTGTTTCACCTAAAATTACATTGATTAAGTATTAGGGGTATTCATGTTACTTATTGTCAAACAATAAACAGAGGTTAGCACACAGCCTACTGTAAGTATAGTACTGGGTTTATCTAGCCTGCTATACACCTGACCTGCGGATGCTCCAAATTGTCCACAAAAGAAATCTTATATCATACATTTAAAAGGTTTACAGATTTAAAAGTTATCTGCTTCTTACCTCCTCGGCTGTAAACTTGTTGCTTGTGTCATCAGTATGCGCAATTAGATACATCAGTAGAATGTGATTATGCTCGTACACACTTTCAAAGTTAACATAACCTTTGATACATCACAGCATTATTGATCAAAATCAGGTCTAATCTACATACTCGTCTTTGTGTACATGACCCTTGTCCTCAGGATCAAACATTCTAAAGGCGTTGAGAATGGTATCTTCTGGGTCTGTTCCATGCAACTTCTCTCCAAACTGGTTGAGGAACATGGTGAGTTGATGGGACCACTGGCCTCTTTGAACATGTCTTCTAGCTCTTTGTCCTTCACATTCATTTACCTGAAGATAGATGAGATCTTAGACATTGCAGACATTCAAACAACCATTAGCTGTTCTACAGTAAGTGATATTCAGTTATTCAGAAGATATCATTGAAATACTGATCAAGAAATGCATAGGTATCTTTAGAGCTTCTTTGTCAATGAACCCCATCTTTATTCTGGTTGAATGCCTAGCTTAGGGAAGAAAGGTCTTAAAGTAATTTGATGTAAAGAACAAACATCATATTTTTTCCTTACTCACAACTTTGATTGGCACACTGACCAGTTTACACAGTATTCCGGATAGTAGCTCATATCCTGCTTAAGGTCGTATTTGGGTAAGCTGTTTACATGCACCTACTGTAGCTGGAGGAAAATGGGGGAGGTCATGCTTTTCAATTTCAGTCAGGGGAGGGTTTTTAGTATTCTTTAATTTAACCCAGGGGATGGTCATGTCATTTGTAATCGATTAAATGTCAGCATTTTGGAATTTACGTATTGAATCGACTGGTGTAACCCTCTCTCTCTCTGTCTCTGTCTCTCTCTCATTCTCCTCTTTGAGCCCGGCTGGGTGGGTATTTCGCATATGCCTTTCCATTGACTGTTCGATCAGTCTCTCTTTGTGCTTAGCGTATCCAGAACGTGGGCATGTAGATACAAAACCTAGGAGGCTCATGGTTTCTCACTCCCTTACATAGATTTACACAGTAATTATGACAACTTCCGGAGGACGTCCTCCAACCTATCAGAGCTCTTGCAGCATGAACTGACATGTTGTCCACCCAATCAAAGGATCAGAAAATGAATCTACTACTGAAATAAAAGCTAAAAGCTAGCTAGCACGGCAGTGCATAAATATGTTGAGTAGTTGACTCAAAAAGAGAGAAGACAATAGTTAAACAGTTTTTAACAAATTAAGTTATTACAAAATAAAGAGAATCGAGAGAGCTATATTTTGGTTAATTTTATTTCACTTTCACTTACTTAGCTAGGAATTGCAGCTAGCTAGAGGGATGCTATGTTAGCTAGCTGGCTATGGCTATCCAGCACTGGAACTCTTAAAAGTCAAGGTAAGCTTTTGGTTTTATTCATTTATTGCCACCGGGACCCGCCGGTGTAACTACTAACTGCTTACTGCTGACTGTACACTGTACAGCATGATTATAGCGGCTTTACTAACGTGTTAGTTCTAGTAGCTATGTTGACTATGACGTTAATATGGTGACAACAATGTAGGCTGCGTGTAGCGGTTATGAAATGAAGGTTTGGCTTGGAAAGTTTTTTTTTTTTGCCTGGTCCCAGAAAGCTGATGTGTTGTGCACTGAAGTCCACAAGCGAAGGGTAAAGGTGAGAGGAGAGCGCGTAGATGCGAGAAGGAATACAACGATCAAAGGGATCATGCTGTTATGTGGCTGCTATGAAAGTGAACTGTGTTGGCATGTGATCAGGGGTGTATTCATTCCGCCAATTCTGTTGAAAAACTTTTCTTAAACTGAAGCAAACGAAACAAAACGGGGATAAACATACCTGAATCTGTCCAAAAAACTCTCGTTGCAACTGGTTGGACTAATGATTACACCCTAGATCAGCTAGATGCAGGCACGAGTGTGCAAGGCGGTATTGAATGTGTCAATGTCTGTCACCTTGATTACTAAAAGTATCTCGACCTGTGCACCTACGTTTAAAACGTTCATTCATAGGCAAGGTTGTAGCAACCTCTTGATGAGTAAAAGGGTAAAGTAGGCACTGGGCCTATAATAGTCCTGAAATTAGCCGACCGATATAGCCGTCTGCAGAGCGGGAAAAACTTTTCACAATACTGTGCACTGGCACTCATCTATAAAAATATACTATGATTAGACACATTTCCACACAGTGGTGGAAAAAGTACCCAATTGTCATACTTGAGTAAAGTAAAGATACCTTAATAGAAAATGACTCAAGTAAAAGTGAAAGTCACCCAGTAAAATACTACTTGAGTAAAAGTATTTGGTTTAAAAACATACTTAAGTATCAAAAGTAAATTTAATTGCAAAAATATACTTAAGTATCAAATGTAAAAGTACAAGTATAAATCATTTCAAAATTGCTTATATTAAGCAAACCAGACGGCACAATTTTCTTGTTTTTTAAATTTACGGATAGCCAGGGGCACAATACAACACGCAGACATAATTTACAAAAAAAAGTATTAATGTTTAGTGAGTCCTCCAGATCAGAGGCAGTAGGGATGACCAGGGATGTTCTCTTGATAAGTGTGTGAGTTGGACCATTTTCCTGTCCTGCTAAGCATTCAAAATGTAATGAGTACTTTTGGGTGTCAGGGAAATGTATGGAGTAAAAAGTACATTATTTTCTTTAGGAATGTAGTGAAGTAAAAGTTGTCAAAAATATAAAAAGTAAAGTACATATACCCAAAAAAACAACTTATGTAGTACTTTAAGGTATTTTTACTTAAGTACTTTACACCACTGTTTCCACATCTTTTCATTACCCCCCATGACTTCATGTGTTTTCAGGGCCAAAGTGTTTAGCACCTCAGGGTCTAGGAAATCTTCTAAAGACATGTCTCTTCCGTTGACATAGTAACTAATAAAAGGACAGAGTAGTCGATTAAAGATCAGTTCTTAATATCAAAGTGACACGACAAACATATGTATCATTAAAATGTCTGTGATTGAAGAATGAAAATAAACCTAATATACATATTCTATGGTGTTCAGACTGAAAGTACATCCCTCATCTGACAGACTCATGTGCAAGCCTTTACAAACAGTTCCTCTTTCCCCTTGTGACAACCCCACGTGTCCAAATCCCAAGCACATTGATAAACTAACCCTGTATTTGTTCAGTGTCTGTGTGGTCAAAGTCAAAGCAGCAACATGTGACATCTGATCCATCACTGTGTGCTAGGTGAGGACAGACAGTTCAACTTAATGGTGCCAGGTGCATGCATCAATCGCTTCTGCCCCACTCTCCAAGAACCTATGAAAAATAAATAGGATTGTTCAATATTTTATATATACTGTGTGTGTGTGTGTACAGTGCCTTGCAAAAGTATTCATCCCCCTTGGCGTTTTTCCTATTTTGTTGCATTACAACATGTAATTTAAATAGATTTTTATTTGGATTTCATGTAATGGACATACACAAAATAGTCCCAAATTGGTTAATTGAAATAAAAAAAATAACTTGTTTCAAAAAATTATAAATGATAAATAAGGGAAAAAGTGGTGCGTGCATATGTATTCACCCCCTTTGCTAGAAGCCCCTAAATAAGATCTGGGGCAACCAATTACCTTCAGAAGTCACATAATTAGTGAAATAAAGTCCACCTGTGTGCAATCTAATGTCACATGATCTGTCACATGATCTCAATATATATACACCTGTTTGAAAGGCCCCGGGTCTGCAACACCACTAAGAAAGGGGGCACACCAAGCAAGCGGCCCCCATGAAGACCAAGGAGCTCTCCAAAACAGGTCAGGGACAAAGTTTGTGGAGAAGTACAGATAAATTTGGGGGTTCTAAAAAAATATCAGAAACTTAGAACATCCCACGGAGCACCATTTAAATCATTGAAAAAAATTGAAAGAATCTGGCACCCACAACAAAACCTGCCAAGAGAGGTCCGCCCACCAAAACTACGGGCCAGGCAAGGAGGGCATTAATCAGAGAGGCAACAAAGATAACCCTGCAAAGCTCCACAGCGGAGATTGGAGTATCTGTCCATAGGACCAATTTTAAGCCGTACACTCCACAGTGCTGGGCTTTACGGAAGAGTGGCCAGAAAAAAAGCCATTGCTTCATGAAAAAATAAGCGAACACGTTTGGTGTTCGCCAAAAGCCATGTGGGAGACTCCCCAAACATATGGAAGAAGGGACTCTGGTCAGATGAGACTAAAATTGAGCTTTTTGGCCATGAAGGAAAATGCTATGTCTGTCGCAAACCCAACCCCTTTTCATCACTCCAAGAACACCATCCCCACAGTGAAGCATGGTGGTGGCAGCATCATGCTGTGGGTATGTTTTTCATCGGCAGGGACTGGGAAACTGGTCAGAATTGAAGGAATGATGGATGGCGCTAAATACAGGGAAATTCTTGAGTGAAACCTGTTTCAGTCTTCCAGAGATTTGAGACTGGGACGGAGGTTCACCTTCCAGCAGGACAATGACCCTAAGCATACTGCTAAAGCAACACTCGAGTGGTTTAAGGGGAAACTTTTAAAATGTCTTGGAATGGTCAAAGCCCAGACCTCAATCAAATTGAGAATCTGTGGTATCACTTAAAGATTGCTGTACACCAGCGGAACCCATCCAACTTGAAGGAGCTGGAGCCATTTTAATTCCAGGTTGTAAGGCAACAAAATAGGAAAAATGCCAAGGGGGGGTGAAACTTTCGTAACCACTATATATACAGTGGGGAAAAAAAGTTTTTAGTCAGCCACCAATTGTGCAAGTTTCCCCCACTTAAAAAATGAGAGAGGCCTGTAATTTTCATCATAGGTACACGTCAACTATGACAGACAAAATGGAGAAAAAAAAATCCAGAAAATCACATTGTAGGATTTTTTATGAATTTATTGGCATATGATGGTGGAAAATAAGTATTTGGTCAATAACAAAAGTTCTCAATACTTGTTATTTACCCTTTGTTGGAAATGACACAGGTTTAAACGTTTTCTGTAAGTCTTCACAAGGTTTTCACACACTGTTTCTGGTATTTTGGCCCATTCCTCCATGCAGATCTCCTCTAGAGCAGTGATGTTTTGGGGCTGTCGCTGGGCAACACAGACTTTCAACTCCCTCCAAAGATTTTCTATGGGGTTTAGATCTGGTGACTGGCTAGGCCACTCCAGGACCTTGAAATGCTTCTTACGAAGCCACTCCTTCGTTGCCCGGGCGGTGTGTTTGGGATCATTGTCATGCTGAAAGACCCAGCCACGTTTCATCTTCAATGCCCTTGATGATGGAAGGAGGTTTTCTCTAAAAATCTCACGATACATGGCCCCATT